TCAGAATCAACTTTTTTGAGTTAAAATAAGCTGTTAGAATCAGAAGGTATTTGAAATAGTTTAACCAAACAGTTCAAAATAATTTTTTCAAAACTAAAAGCCATAAGTTAGTTTTGAAAAGCTGAAACAAACACCCCCCATTAGCGAAAGAAGAAAGTATAATTTAAGCCTGATATATAGGAGTTGAAGTGAGAAATTTCTGTTTGGTCTGCTAGAAAATATAGTTTATGAATTTGATGATCTTTAGTGGAAATTACACTTTACCTTTGGTGTTTGGCCAAAAAATACATAACCTCTGTTCTGTGCTTTAAAGGTGAATGCATTTGCATAGTTCTCTATGGTTTGAACTGAAGTGCAAATTGTACGGACCGTGATAAAAATTGGTTTTGTTTAGGAAGTGGGTTAATTTTTTGGTTTTTTGACTTTTTTTTGATTATTTTAACCTGGGTTTAAAAGTCTGATTTGAGAAGGATTTTTAGTTTTTTTGTGAGAGAAGAAAGGGAAAAATTATGGATTGGATGTGATGTTTTGTCTTATTAAACTAAAAAAATTATTTTATTTTTTGTGATTAAAATAACCAAAAAAGCCTCAACATTGGCTTTCCAAACGGAGCTTTTAAATGCCCTTAAGCCCGCTTGCCCTTTATTCGAAATCAGAAGGTAGTAAAATGTTAATTATTTAGTGAGGGTATTTTATTAACAAAGCGTTTAGAAATCTATAATTATCAAATTCAGGTTAGGAATCAAAAAAAAAAAAAAAATCTTTTTTTTCATAAATTACGTTGACCCTCTTAAGTTTTGGAGATAATAAAAGTAGCTTCATAATTTTGATATAATTACATTGACTTCTTTTTTTAATATGGCAAAAACAGCAAAAATAGTACAAATGGTTTGAATACGCAATGATAAATAAAAATATATATATACATTTTAAATTTTAATATAGAAGAGATGATAATATTTTTTTTTCATTCAAATGATCAATGAAATATTGATGAAAATAGGACTTAGTGTTATGTGAATTAAAATTTTAAGAAATATTAATATAATTATATTAAAATTATAAAATTAATTATATTTTTTCAGAATTTTAAGCTTAGTGTAATTTATTTATTTATTTTTCAATTCACATGGCCTATGACTGAGGAAATGACACCTCTGTCTCTAGCCTCTAGGGAGTCTATTTATTTATGGAAAAAGCTTCGGACCCCAGTGGGGTACTGGGGATCGCGTGTGATTGGTCTAAAAAAAATTATTTATTTATTTATTTTTAATATTTTTTGCCAATCCCATGCTGCCACGTCACTGGGGGTGCGACTCCCACTGGCAGTCTGAAGCACGACTCTTTATTTATTTTGGAGAAGAAATGTTTGAGAGCTCAAGGGAGAGAGTTTTAGGGTGTGTTTGGTTTGATTTTGGAGATAATTTTAAAAAAAAATTTGAAGAAAGAGTTTATAAATTTTTTTGGTTTGTTTGGGTTGTATATTTAGAAATAGTTTTGGAGTATACGAGTTTGGAATGATTTGATATTTTTGTTCTAGTTGAGTAGATGTGTGTGTGAGAAAAAGTGATTGAGAAGAAGAGATGAGAGAGGAAAAATGATTGATTGATGTGTAAGAGATAGAAAGTAATTTTGAAATTTTTTTTTCCAAAATTACTAAGCCAAACAAAATTTTAAAAAATTTTCTTCAAAATTTATTTCTTAAAAACCAAACCAAACAACTAATTTGTGGGTAGATTTTATTTGGTGTGATATTTTGATATTTTGATTTTTAATTTTTTTTTTTTACATTATTAAAGCTCAATTAGAATTCTAATTTTAAGGAATAAATCACGGTTGTTTGGATAATCATTTCACAGAATAATCAACCAATTATTATATAGTGTATTTGGTTATTGATAACCAGTTATTAAATGTGTACTAATAAGACATAAACATTAACAAGTGAGCCCCTAGCACTCATGTGATGATGATGTGATTGTGTCTGTGGGTGTGTAATATTTCCAAAAAGATCAAAGCAAGGCTCATGTGATGATGATGATGAATATATAAAATATATATATAAGGTTAAATGCACCTACAATACAGCCACATATCACCACCAACATTAGTAATTGCAATATTATTAATTAGGCCACTGTTCTGTGTATGCAGTTGTGGACCCTCTCTTTTGGCATTTTGGTCCAGAAATTCACCTCTCTCCAGCTCCAATGATAGCTCTGATCTAATATGCATTATTGTGTGTGGCAGCTCTTAATTTTGTGACTTCGCTTGTAAGACCGAGAGACACTAACGCTGTGTTTGGTTGGGGGATTTGGGAAGGGAAATAGAAAGGGAAATGGAAATGAAAGGAAAAGGAGAAAGAATTAATAGAATTCTAAATCCCAACTATGTTTGGTTGTGTTGGTTATAAAATAGAATTGATGTCCTAAAAGGTCTCCTATTTCTTTATTTATTTCTCACCCCCTTTCTTTTCCCATATATTTTTTATTATAACCAAACATAAATAGGATTACATTTCTCATTCCTTTTCCAAATCCCACCAAAAAACCCCAACCAAACACAGCATTAATGTTGTAGTATTTACAAAAGGAAGAGACTTTTCTTCAATCCATTAATTGGACTGAATGGTTTAGTTGATTAATTAGATTAGAGGTCCAGATGAGGTGATTGTGGGCTTCCAGTTGAGTTAAATTAAGTTTATTTAACTCTTAAACTTAATTTTGGTGGAGCCCTAACTCTATTCTCTCTGTTCGAAAAGACTTTCTGCTCAATTTTAATATCCACATTAATAATTACACTATTTTTTATTTAAAAAATTAAATAAAAAAATAAAAAAATTAACTTTTACTTCAACCTTTTTGTGGGCCAACTCTCCAAACATGAGCGATACAACCTCCGTCAATTTGGATGAAAATTATGACAGTTGTACTTTAGTACAAAATTACAAGGCCATATTTGAATCATAAAGGGACAAAATGCTCCTATCCTTAATTATAATGGGATAAATTAAATTTTATTTTAAAATAAATAATCTATTATCAAGATCATAATTACTATATATATATTTTTAGCAAATATAATCAAATTATATAAATATTAATATTTAATTAATTTAATTTTTATATGAATTATTTAGATTTAAAATAAGTGGGTTATCATATTTATTTAAAGCATGATAAAAAGATTTATTTATATGTAATGTTACTTGATATATATGCAAATAATTTGGGCCGAGCCTTTAATGCAGCCAAATAAGACTTAAGAAGTATATGGTAGTAGCCATTAATGTAGCTCAATAAGACAAGAAGTGATTTGACATACGACTTGACCTAAGAAGTACCGGGTAGCCCAATTTTATGATATGAGCCGTGCTACCGATCTCTAGTGGGGCGACTCCCATTGACAACTCCCAGTGAGATGTCGCTTTCTTATTGGTTAAAAAAAAAATATAATAATAATAATATTTTTTTTTTGCATCAATCACACGCGACTCTTAATACTCCACTGGGGGTCGGAGGCTTTTTCCTTATGATATATGAGAGGGTAATTTTTGGGAAAGAATTGGGCCGAGCTGTGAGTTGGGCCCTGCGGCCCAAAGTGTGAAGGAATCGGTAAGAAGCCGTAATGTTATTTCGGCCCAGTAGAGGTATAGATACTCCGGCCCAGGAGAAGTGAAGTTATTCCGGCCCAGGAGAGGTGTGGTTACTCCGGTTCAAGAATGTGTAAAGCAACTCCGGTCCGGTGGCAATTTGAAGTAAGTCCGGCCTTACATTTAGTCCGGTCGTGTCATAATTTGGTTAGGTCGGTCAGAACTTGCTACTTGGAAGTTTGATCTAAACACACCATGGTTGAACAGGGGAAAGCCGAGATAAGGAGTTGGAGGAGAAACCGAGCTAAGGACAGTTCGGCCCTCTCTGTGGCTCTGCCGTAGGCCAAGCTTAATTTCGTCGTATAGTAGTTCGGCCAAAGGAAAAAACATCCTTGGTTTAAGCAGTGGGGGAGGGTGTAAAAGGATAAGCATTATCCTTAGGAGATTGAATCCTAGGAGGACTCTGCATGGAGAAGTACAAGTCCTACTAGGATTGTGCCATACGAAACTTATAAAAGCTCACAAGCAACACCTTGGAGGAGGTAATTGAACACAATCTTTCTGAGAATTTAGAGCTTTGTCTATTTGTCAAGTTTTCTGACTTAGGCATCGGAGAGGTTTCCGGCACACACCCGCCGGCTAGCTCACGTTTGTGTTTTCAGGTGATAAAGCGACGTCGTACGGAGGAGCGTGGACTTGGTCAACAGGATTATACGAGAAGGTTTATTTCTTTCCCGTACAATATACATTAGAAGTCCAATTGAACCCTTAGCTTTGCTAAGTTGGTTTGTGAGACAACCTTCCACCGACAAGTACATGAGGTTCTTTTTATTTTTTTTAATAGTAAAAGTAAAAATTTTATAAAAACATAAAATTGAAGGTACAGAAAAATACAAGGTATTGAAAGAGGTTTGAACAGTAGAAAATATTCTTATTACTGTTATTTGTACTCATATAATCAACCTCTCATCCTCACAATTTTTTAAACAAAAAGTAAACCAAAACAAGACCAAAACAAATTTTAACAGTTAAGAAGGACCTACCTACCAAAAAAATAAAATAAAATAAAAAGAAAAAAATTGAAACCCCATATCAAACCACATGCCCAAAAACACACTCCTCGGCTCCCAAGGCACAACCACACTATACCCAGGGCACATCTCAGTGTCTCCCACACCTGTCCCCTTCCTCCAAACTTCACCGACTCTATGGCTGAACACCATTCGTATAAACACACCCATGGCTGAAGCTTGCTTCCAAAATCAAAACACCCACTGGCCCAAACACTCAAACTCCCATTACCAAACACCCTTAGCCTAAGCACACAATTGAAGCTTCCACCGTCGAAACGACCACTGCGGAACACAACATTGGCAGAAACACACCAACTTCCATACCCTCCTAACATGATAATGTGCCTGTTTGGCAGAGCTTAATTACAGCTTATTTCAGCTTTCAGCTTAATTTAAGCTATTTTGATGTGTTTAGTTTAGCTTATAACTTATAACTTATACCTTTTTGAAAGTCAAAAATCAACTTATTCTTTGAGTGGGGCAGAAGATGCTTTAAGAATAAGCTGGAAATCAGCTTAAGCTGAAAGTTATAAGCTATAAGCTGTTGAGGCATAAGCTATAAGCACTTTCCCACAGCTCTACCAAACAGGGCCATTGCTATTACAGAAGCTTGCAAAGAAGAGTTATGGTTGAAGAAATTTTTGCAAGAGTTGGGTTTGAAACAAGAAAAGTATGTGCTTTATTGTGATAGTCAAAGTGCTATTCACTTGAACAAAAATTCTACTTTTCATTCGAGATCTAAAGATCAACAACACATCCATGAAGTCTCTTTCATCTTTCTTCACCTTCCCTTCTTTCCTGCTCTGCACATGTTCTTCAAGCCACATACTCATGAAATAATCCATCTCTTTACCATTCCTCTTCATAGCCTTCACATTACCCTGCAAATCCAACCATTCAATCCCGGGAATCACATCCGAACACTCAGAAACACCAGCCAAATACATGAACTCGTCCATCGTTCTCGCGAACTGCCTTGCCTCCTTGTCTCTCTCGTTGTCACCGCAGTTGTATCTCTTCCCCGCAATCACCCGTAGCATCAAGTTCAACGTCACTTGCCTAAACCATTCGCTCACTTTCACCTTACACTCTGTTTTGGAAACATAGCAGAGACAGAAACAAAACAAAAAAAAAAAAATGATTACATAAAATTAGAAGAAAAAAAGAAAAAAAGAGGAAAATTACATAAAATTAGACGAGAAAAAGAAAAAAAAAAAAAGAAGGGAAAATTTGAAGTTTGCCTTTTGTCTGGATAAATAAGGGAATCTCTCATATTTTGTTTGGGAGGTCAAGTATAATCTGTGTGTTTGCTTGTGGGTTTTGAATTGAAATTTCTCTGCCTCTTATTAACGATTTTGGATATGCCCATGATTGATCTTATCTTATTTTGGAATTGTTTGGCATACACTATTTTAGTTTATCTTTTTATCTTTTTTAGATCACATCAATCAATATCTTTTCTTTATTTTTTTATACATTTTTTTATAAAAAATTAAAAAATACACTTATTTAGAACATTCCAAACTACCTGAGATGCTTACCATAAACAATGATGCATTTTTTTTTCAAATTATTTTGTATCTTTCTCAGAGTTAATAAAATTATCTTTGATTGCCGCCCAAAAAAAAAAAAAAAAAAAAAAAAACCCCAAAAGAAAAGAAAAGGAAATTTTTTTTTGTTTCATGTTATATGGTTAAAATAACTTTTTATAAGGGTCTCTTTTTAAATTTCTTCAGTATATTTAAAGGATAATTATGATATTATAAATGGTACTAGTTAGTTGATTTCTTTCCAATTTCATTACTAAAATAAAAAAAAAAAGACAATTTTTAGAGTAGTAATACTATGTACTCAACAAATTTTATCAAAAAGAATATTATTATTCAAGCACAAAAATTAGACCTCCTTTTTAGATCAAATGATATGTCATTCTATTAAAATATTTAAGTCAAATCTCTCTATAATTTATTCACTAATAACCAACTAATCATCCTAATAACATATCACTAAGTTTAGAAAGTGGATTTAAAAAATGAGCTTATAAATCAATTTTTTTTTAACTATTTTTAATTCCAAAAAAACATCAATATATGGTTTAGAGTAATGCTATGGATTCCAAAAAAAATTATCAAGAATTATATATACTATTTATATGGGCGTTGGTGGGCCTTGATTTGGTCCCATGTCGATGATCCAATACATGATTCTTGAAAAAATTACGTTGATCGGATATCAATAACTACTTGATCAGATTACATTTTTAAAATAGTTTTTAAAATAAATTGTAACAAAAATGTAATATGATCAAGTAGTTATCGATATTCAATCAACGAAATTTTTTACAAAAATGATACATTTGATGAATACTACATATTAAATAATTTAGATCATCAACATATATCGAAATTAGGATCCATCAGTGCCGAACAACCCCCTCCAATTACTGGGGAGGAGCTGAGCTGAGTCCTTTATATAATTTAAATTTATATTTATTTTAAACATGGACCCACAAGGCATGAACTAAATCTCAACCTCATATTTGCTTTCATGATAAATTTCTGCACCAAAATTCTAAGAGTGTAGAGCGACTTGTAAAAGAAATGAGTTAGTCGGTAACCCAAAAAAAAAAAGAAAAATTTAGTCAAAATATTTTTATTAGACTTTTATTTGGTAAAAAAAGACAGTTTAATTTATTTTGTTTCATAAATTCTCTAAGAAGAAAATATATAATTGAGTAAAGACAAAGTAAAATATATTTTTTTTTCTTGAACAATATTACTAAAGTAATACGTTACTCTGAACCGAAATAGCATGTTTTTTTGGGTAAATAAATAACATTTTACTGTCAAATAGAGTAACATATTCCTGTTACTGTTTACATTAATTTCGTTGGTATTAATTTTTTTTTAAAGAATTTCATAGTCAACATGGATCTTATTTGATAGATCTGGATGAAAGAATTCTAAAAAATTCAGAGTGTTTGGTTTAAATTTTTTGGATTAAGTTTTTTGAAAACTGAGATTTTTTATTTTCATATATTTTTTTTTAATTTTTGGTGAATATTTTTAAAATTTTAAATATTTTTTTTTTACGTTTTTAGATGCACCTTACTTAGATATATCTAAAAAGTAAAAAATTTGTGAAAAAATATTTTAAAAAATTAATAAATACATAAAAATACAAAAAATGTATTGAATTCTTGTATTTTTTTTTTTTGCATTTTTGGTATTTAGTGAATTTTTAAAAGATTTTTTTCACAATTTTTTTACTTTTTAAGTATACTTATGTTAGATATGTCTAAAAAATAAAAAAAATTACTTAAAATATTAAAAAAAATTCAATAAAAACAAAAAAAACACGGAAAATAAGAAAATAAAATTTTTCGAAAAGTATTTTTTGAAAAACCTAACCAAGCAAGGTATTAATTTTATTAAAAACCGACATATACATCAAAAGTTATATTATTTTAAAATTTAATATTTTGACAATAATTATATATATTGTACTTTTTAAGAAATTTTTTTTTGTGTTTGTCTTTAATGTATTAAACTTTTGCCAAGGCGCCCGTTGCGGGTTTTCGACCTTGCGAGCTTTGTTCTTCTTTCCTTTTCAATTCTTTTTTTTTTTTTTTTTTTTTCTCATTTCATTTCATGTTTTTTTTTAAACTTATCCAAACAAACCAAGAGATATTTATTTTTTACTGTTATTATTATAATCGAAATCACCCAATTCAAACTGATTATTTATGAAACTACCATTTTTGATGCTGAGCAAATGGAGCTCTTTGATCGACAAGTCCACCTCCAGGGCTCGGACATGCTTCAACGACTCCAAATGGCGGTTAGTGAGGAGGTGTTGGGTGGTGACTTTACGAAGCTCGCGCCAGTAGTCGTCGGAAGGTCCGAGCGCGGAACCGGCGCCATTGTAGCCCATGTATTTGAGTGCTGCGGTTTGGGGCCGAGACATGAAAGCTCGGTCGTTGACACTGAAGCATTCGGTGATTGTTTCTTTGCTGCTCACCACGATCGCTCGGCGGAACCCGAGTCTGATGGTGAATATCGGACCGTGTCGGTCGGCCATGGCGGCCAGGGTTCGGAAGAGTGGGGTTTGGCCGGCGAGGAGGTGGAGGTGGCCGATGATCGGCCAGGCACCTTTCGGTTCGGGGGCTTGGGTACCGGTCTTGGACATCCATATTTTGGAGAGTACAAGTAGGGCTACAAGGATTCCGGCTGCTTGAAGTAGAGGAACAAAATCCATTTTTAGAAAGAGAGTGAAGGAAGGAGGGAGAGAAGGAGAGGAAGACTATGGAGAGGTGAGAGGATTATTGAGAAACTTGATGAATGGAGGTACAATATTTATAACTCAATACACACGGTTGTCTCATAATCCCGATTTTATGGAAAATTCTTCTATACAACTATCTGAGTGTGGTGTTAAATGAGTAGTTATTGATGTAAATTATATGATTTATTATTTTTGTGTTAGAATTTTAAAAAATAATATATTAAAAGTCAATTTGTTAATAAAAGAGGAGAATTGTTTTGAGAGCACCGAATCATTACTCTAATTTTACGGATAATAAATACTATGCTACTTTGGGGTTGTTTGAGGTGATCTAAATAAATACACTTTTTGACTTTTTATGAAATATGAGCTGGGTTTGAAGTGATGTGTTAGAGATGTGATGTGACTTAAATAAGATGATGTGACTTAAATAGGATAGTGACTTTTTGACTTTTTGTCTTTTTCAAGACACGTCAAACTTGGCTTGAAAATAAAGTGGAACCCTTATTTTATAGGAGGAGGATTCCTTCCGGTTTAGATTTTGGACGGGAAGACACTGTTTTTGATTATCTAAATTGTTAATTTTATTGGACACTTTATGTATTTCATTTATAAGATTTAATAATTTTAACTTATTCAATTTATTATATTTATAAAATATATATATATATATATATATAGTCCATTTTTTAAAATACAAAATCAAAAATAGAAAATTCCAAAAAATACGAAACATAATCAGTTTAATGTCTTCCATAAAAGAGAGGCCAATCCGGCCACTCCCACGCACAGAGCAATGATCACCTTTCACAATTAATTTTCTTTCTCTGAAGAGAAGAAAAATATAGATAATTTTAAATATTTATATGTGTTTTCAATTAACTATTTAAAAGGAACCGATTTCTAAAAATACAAAAATGATGATTTTATTTTGCCTTTTATTTTCAATAATTATGTTGTTTTTAAAATAAATGCTTCAAATTTCTCATCTTTAAAATTTGGGCCAAACAAACACAATACGTTTTTGCGTAAACTATTTTTTACAAATAATAGTAACAGTAATAATTTTATCGGATCAATACTACAGACCCATAAATTTTATTAAAAAATATCAAATTTCTTTCAAAATTCAAATTTCTATATATATAGGATTTTTTGTCTCTTTAAATTTATTAAGAATCAGGCAGTGATGCATGGCATAGGATTTTTGTCTCTAAATTTTTTTATTATCTTATTTGAAAATACTCATAATATCATGTTTTGGAATTATTATTTCTCTAAATTATAATAATTTAATAATTATAAATATTTTGAGACAATGATATAATGCAAAACGAAAATTTTCATTTAGTGGCAATTTCAAAAAAGTACTATAGTTTTATGAAAAAAATTAACAATTTAATTATTAATACTTGATAAATTTATCATTAATCTATAATTTTTCTTTAAAAGCTTACCCTAAATCAATATTTTCTTTCATAAAAATTAATGATAGAGAATTCTTGGATGTCATGCATATCCCTAATTTGATGTTGTGTTTATTGCAACAATAATTATGTTAGTGATGAGATTAACACTACAACAAAATGCATCTTTGGCGACCAAATTTGGTAACTAAAACTTTTTTGGTCGCCAAAAGTCAAACCTTTACTGACTAATTTTCCTATTGGTCAGGAATGTTGTGCACTTTTAGCTACTAAAATTTTTTAGTAGCCATATATTAGTTATTGGCGACTGAAATTAAATTTGGTCGCTACAAATATGAAAATAGGCGACTAAAAAATTTTTAGCCGGCGTTTGTTTATATTTTAGGATACTAAATTCTAGTTTTAGTTGGCGTACACAGTCTTTTGCTGACCAAAAAGGTTTTTGTTGCTAAAAATAGGCTGATTTATTAGGGAACTCCTTGTCGACCAAATAATTTAGTTGGAAAATATCAACTAACATCACCTATGGAACTCCTAAGATCCTTACCTTAGACTTGTAAAGGCTTGATGATTCAAACTGGGGACCATTCTAGATAACTGGAGATTCCCACAATTATTCTATGTAGTGGCCTTTTACTGTAAAGTTCAATAACTTACTACTGTTCATGGGAACTTTGAAGTGTAATTAAGAAACATTGCATGAAGCCTTTTTACTTTTTTATGCTTTAAATTGGTCATATAATTTATATTTCATTTTTCACTATATAGCATGTCTTGTATTAAGTCAGAGTCTGCAATCTTTTCTCATGGCATCATACCTGTCATGTATGTCCTCTTCCTTGTTCTATTTTACCTTAACTTGTTCTATAGCTCATGCCAAGCAAATAGGAAAGATGTATTGCATGCTTTATCATGGTCATTTTTTTACAACTTGCATGTTTCCACAACTGTAAACTCAGGTCATAGAAGATACTAATTTAATAAACCTCATCTGGTGATGAAAAGACATGGTCTTACATTTCAAATAGCTAATCTCATTCCAACGTCTAAGCAAGGGATTCAGATAAACCTACTGCTTAATCACTGGACTATTGGAGTTGAAGCTCGTTAAGGTACTTTTTGTTGTCTGCTCCATTTGAGCGATTTGTACACCCAACTTGCCTCAAAGGAAGTAGAGAATTGTGTTTCCCAAGTGCAACTGTTACTGCATCATTCAAGTTGCAACCTATGATATAGTTCACTTTGTTAACTTTATGTCGGGGTTATCCTTTTTGCATTAGAGCTAAACCTGCTAATTGCATGTTTAAAATGAGATGGAATTGAATGAAATGGTCATTCTTAAACTCCACCACGGAATGATTATTTCCTTACGATAATGAATGGTGATTTCATTTGCTAATTGCGTGCTTTAGAAGAAAAACAATAAATGCTAAAGGAAAAGTCTATTGCATTTAATTTATTCCAGATATTGGCTATTATTAAGCAAGTTGTTTCAGTTGTAGTTGTTGTTCTTCCCTTCTTTTTTGCCTTTGGACGAGGGGTGGCGTGATGGTTAGAGATGGCAATCTAACCTGCCCCAAGAGGGGCAGATTTCCACACACAAGCTCTGACACACACACACATACTCTGCATAGGACCACTCAAGTATTCATCACCAAGTGTAACCAGATATTTTCACTGCTGATTAGTGTGATAAGATCCATGCTTCTGGCAATTGTGAACCTGCAACACAATGGCTGATGCTTGACCTTTACATAAGTCGTTTGACTCATGTGCAAGTTTTGGTTGTTGTAAGCAAAAAATCTGCTGTAAAGGGCATCAATATAACACATTGACAATTCCATGTTAGAAGGCTCTTTGGATGTAACAGGTAGCTTTATCGTGACAAATACGACTTGTGGGGATAGACAGGATGTAATTAGCACACGTAGGTTGGGAGTTGGAGTGAAAAAAAACTTAAACTTAGTCAAAAAAGGCCATTCGGGAGAGAAAATGCAAATTAGCCTTGAACCACTCTATGGATGTCATGGGTAGCTTCATCGTGATAAATAGGATTTGTGGGAACATACGAGATGTAATTAGCACACTTAGGTTGGGAGTTGGTGTGGAAAATGCCGTAAACTTAGTCGAAAAATGTCGTTCAGGGCCAAAAATGCAAAGCAGCCCCCGAACCCCTCTATGGATGTCGCGAGTAGCTTCCTTGTGACAAAGAGGACCTGTGGCGACAAACGGGATGTAATTAGCACACGTAGGTTGGGAGTTGGCGTGAAAAACGACAAAAACTTAGTCGAAAAATGCCTTTCGGAGCTGAAAAAGCAAAGCAGCCCCTGAACCCCTCTATGGATGTCATGGACAGCTTCCTTATGACAAATAGGACCTATGGGGACAGACATGATGTAATTAGCACACGTAGTTAGGAGTTTGAGTGAAAAACAACTTAAACTTAGTCAAAAAAGGCCATTTGGGGAGCGAAAATGAAAAGCAGCCCCCGAACCAATGATGAGAATGATCATATAGATAGGTCCATTTATAAGATTCTAGGTGGTTTGGATTGACTAATCAATGGCCTAATTTATTGCATTGTCATAGCTTATATGCAATAGGCAAAACCATTTCAATGATCTCTCAAACATTGCAACGTTTACTCAACAACATGACATTTCTGCTAAATGAGACAACCAAACAGGGTCATAAAGAACCAAACTGAAGAGAAACATACCTGATCTATAGGCCTAATTTAACCTTAAGCTTGACCTTTAATCACATTCTGGTTTGACAAATAAGCATTGCCAAGTTGTTTTACAAAGAAATTTTATGTCATTACTGCTGAATATGTTGCACAACCTTGCATTGATTGTCATTTTTCAAGGGCTAAATTTTTTTCCTCATAACTGCTGTATATATTGCACAACCTTACATAATTGTCATTTTTTAGGGGCTAAATTTTTTCTCATTACTGCTGAATATGCTGCACAACCTTACATTAATTGTAATTTTTTAGGGGCTAAATTTTTCCTCATTACTACTAGATATATATGCTGCATGACCTTACATTGGTTGTCCTTTTTTTAGAGGCTAATTGGACTTGCACTCCTGTGCACTTTGCGGTATTTAGGTTCTTAACATTTCAGTAATGTTAATTTCATTTTCAAAATATTATTATTGTAGGGATGAATCTATGTATACATGTTAGCCACAAAAAAAATAATAATAAAAAAAATCCTTTTAAGATCTAATAACTTTTTTTGGCATAGAAATTATGTTCAAATGTTATATGGAACTAATAGGTGTAATTTTTGTTTTGTAGATGGCTTTTGGTATAGACATGTGAATCTTCCATTTTTGTGTATAGAGGATAATTTACACTTTTGAATTGTCCCACTTTTTTGTCGCATGGAATTTGGATGAATCGTACATATAACTTTTGGTGGGGTACAGAATACTTTTGACATCAAACTTGTATTTATTGCCGTGGTTTATAGATTACCTTTTGTCATAGTACATATTACCATGGTAATTTGTACCATGTCAAATAGCCATTTCACATAGTAGTACATATATTTTTGTATAAAGAGGACATTGTTTTTGTATGCTTATTTGTTATGAATGAAGTTATTATTTCCA